ATATGTGATCTTGTCACACGCGCTAGATTGGTGAAAGCATCTGGCATGCTCTGAGCTATGCTCTGGAGATCTAATATGCATTGTACTTCAGTTTCAAATTAAGCAGTGTAGGGATCTAAATGAGACAAAGTGGGAATCGTCCAAGATAATTTGCGTCATTCTTCAAGAACGTTGACATTCTTATCTCCCCCTAACAACAAGAAGACCATCTTATAGAAGTGAAAATCAGGGAAATGAGCGGTAACCAGATCACCTGTCAGAGGTTCTAAGTAACAAATAATCGACGGAAAATCATATCTGACATAGATTCCCATCCTTCGCTGAGGCCCCATTTTTGTACGTAAAGGCATCGAGATCAGCACATATACCGCATAACCAAAAACACGTAGATGTGATATGTCGAGTTCGTATCCGGTAATCAACTAAAAGGCATTAAATGGTTGTGTTGTAACATGCCTCAGGTGGACCAACTTTGCTGCGTGCAATATTGCATGGCCCCATGCAACGAGCGGGAGCTTAGTATGTTTAACCAACGATGGAGTAATCATTTGTAAGCACTTAATGAAAGCCTCTGCCAGGCCATTCTGGGTGTGAATATAAGGTACATTGTGTTCAACTTCAACCTTAACCGACATGTAATAGTCATCAAAAGTTTTAGATTTGAATTCTCCAGCATTATCCAATCAAATATATTTGATCAGATAATCAGGGAGTGAGCCCTGAGCTTGATAACTTGAGCCAACAGTTTGGAGAATACAACGTTCTTTATAGACAATAAGCACACGTGTACAAACGTGTGGAAGCTTCAACCAAAACCATTAAGTATCTAAATGGTCCGCAGAGAGGGTGAATCAGTTGACAAATGTCCCCTTGAATCCATTGTAGAAGAAATAGGAGGATTCGAACGAATCTTGTCATAAGAAGGCTTAGTAATAAACTTTCCCATTGAACATGTTTTACATGCGATTCCTTGGATCGAACTTAAGCTTTGGGTTAGTTGATGCTTATGTGATGATTTAAGGATACGGCGCATCGCTATTCGTCTAAGATGTCCTAAACAATCATGCCAAAGTGTAATTTCTTGCGCGGTCCCAATAGTAGGGCCGGCCACATAGTGGCATTCTATGGGGGCGTATGGTCGTAGTATACAAACCACTCGGGATACACTCCATATTCTTTAGAATGCGCTTCTGGCCATATTCGTAGGAAGTTATGCACAGAAATTCAACCCCGTTTTCTATATGGGTTTCAGCGTGGTAATTGTTATCTCTAATGTCTTTGAAACTCAACAACGTTCTTCCGGAACGTGGAGAATAGAGTGCCTGAGAAATGGTCAAGATTGTACCATTGGACAACATTATACGTGCTTTACCATATCCTTCTATCAGGTTGGATAGGCCTGAGAGGGTTGTTAGAGGTGCATTCTTAGGTTTGAAGTTAGTGGAATAGATGCGCTCACGCAAAACTGTATGTGTGGTTGCCCTATCTGCCAAACAACTAACATTCCCACTAGTCATACCTAGAATGAAAAATTAATTTGAATCAGTCACATGCATAAAAGTTCATAAAAACAAATATCAATTCAAAATAATTTCCTTATTCAAGGATGGTAATTGATTAAAACTTAATATCCAAAAAACAAATCACCAACAAATAATCCAAACATAAAGGAAAACTATTAAAAAATCAACCAAAAACAAAGGAGGGGTTTGGCCACTAGGTGGAATTCGACCCCTATTGTCTTATTTCAACTAAAAACATACAAGTCTATGTCTAAGATTCTAATCTTTCATAGGGTATCCTCTTGGAAGTCAGAAACCTCCATCTTTGTAGTCTCCGGTTCATTCACTTGCACAAAGTTTGATTCAAACTTCTTACGACGAGAACGATATTCATCTACAACCTTCTTGGGAGTTCGACAAACACAAGACCAATGGTCCTTTGAACCACAACGATAACATATATTTGCGTCCATGGTTTTAGGTGCTTTGCAATTATTTTTGAAGTTTGGGGCCTTGGGAGCCTGGTTTGAGCGTTTCTGGGCTTTATTTCCTCCCTTAGATGGGCCTTGACTTTGTTGACCTTGGTGGGATGGCTTCTGGCCGCCCCTACCACACTTCTTTTGGCGTTTTGGGCATTGGTTTGTGCTATAATGTGCTTTAGGCATAGTAGCCGCCCCAGTAGGTCGACTTTGATGATTCTTCATCAACAGCTAGTTCTGTTTTTCAGCGATAAGTAAAACAGAGACCAAATCTGATAACTTAGTGAACTTTTGATCTCTATATTGTTGCTGCAGGACAATATTAGAAGCAGAGAAGGTTGAATAAGTATTCTTTAGGAGATCCTCTTTGGTCAAAGTTTCGTTACAAAACTTGAGAAGTGATTGGATTCAACAAACTTCAGAATTATATTCATTCATAGACTTAAAGTCTTGGAAGCGCAAATGCTGTGAGTCATGTCTTGCTTCAGGCAAGAATATGTCATTTTGGAAATCAAAATGATCAGCCAAAACGACCCCTAGTGCACGTGGATCCTTCGCAGCAAGATACTCAGTTTGCAAAGTGTCATGGATATGTCTTCAGATGAAGATCATAACGGGAAGTAAGTTCCTAGCAGTGAGGTGGAGCTTCACATCTTGAACCTACTTGAGGTAGTTCCTTCCAGAGACCTCCAAAGCGGTGAAGTCGAGTTTGTTCAAATTCGACATGTTCCTATCACAAAATAGATGGACAAGATGTGGTTAGTGTAATGGAGAAAAATCAATCCATTCACATAAGAGTTAAACATACAGGTTCTAATAGACATGTATTGGTTTAATTTTGCATGAAAAACTTTGGGTTTTCATGGGTGATGTTTTTAAATGAAAACTTCAGGTTTTCAAACAAGGCATGTTTGTAAGAAACTTCAGGTTTCGAAATCATTATGAACTTCAGGTTCATATATTCCTGCAGGCAAACACAAATATATACAAAAATATGCAAAAATATAACTTTTAGGTTTACAATTATAATTGAAATTAATTATTTGGACTTCGGGACAAATTAAAGTATGGGTAACAAATATAAAACCCATTAGGCCTAAAATAATGAGGCAAATAAAACTCGGGGCCCAAAAGAAAAACTAAGCCCACAGGTGGCTTAAGAAAATTGGTGATGTGCTTCCTAGACCCCAAAATTGGGCTAGGGTGTCTCGGGTGGGGCTGCAGTACCACGGGAAGAGGAGAAACCGGGGAGGGGGAAGGGGTGCAGAAAGAACACCCTAAAAAAACACAGCCTACTTAAAAGCTGACCCTTTAAAAAAATGTCACTCGGCCCGTTGCAGGTGGGCCCAAAAAAAAATTTTCGTTTTTTTTTTTTTTTCTTTCTCTTTCTCACAGGCTGGGGAAAACATGCATTGGGCCAAAACAAGGAACCAGTTTTTGGGTCGCTGCAGATGAGCCAAAAAAATAAAAAAAAGGTCGAAAGATGGAGCCCAATAGGGCTCGAGTTGGGTCCAAAGACACCCCAGCCATAGCTGGGTGTGTTCGCCAGGGAAGAAGCCCGGCGCTACTGCTTCAGGTGGCCATGCTTTGGGACAATAGTGCTCAGGGCGAGTCTATAGGGCGTGGGAGACCTTAAAGGTTAACGGCGATTTGAAAAAAAAAATAAAATCTCAACGTTCGTTGTAAAACCCTAGAAATTCAAATCGGGTTTATAGAAAAATGTCGATGAATCTTGGTCCAATTCAAGTGTGGGACGACTTCTGGTCATCGTCGACATGAACAAAACGTTCAGGGTGGTAGCTGCAAGCCATCTCATGGTCGATATGGACAAGGACACTGTCAATGGTGTCAGGTGTTTTGGGTTTACACATGGAGCTCTCGGTTTCGGCAAGGTTCAATGACAAGCTGTAGGCTTGGGCGAGTGCTCAAGGTCATGGGTTCGAAAAACCCAGGCTATGGTTTTCGATTGCTTTTTGTTTTTTCTTTTCAATTCATATATAATTCAATTCAAATCATATTCAATTCAATCATATGCATATGCAAAAACAATAATATGTTAATTGAATTAAAATTTGATGCACATACATATATTTGATGCAATTCATGGCAAATATCAAATTCACATAATTCAACAATTATGATTACGATGCATACACAATTTATGTAGAATCTAAAATTCGTAAAATGTAGAGTTGGGTCATGCATCATGGTGAATGTTCATGCTATCAGAGCTGCAAAAATATCGAGATAAAAACCGTTGTTTTGAAAGAATCTAATTGCGTGATGATATGGATGAACTGGTTTGATGTAGAAAAATTCTCTAATGTCAGATTCCTAAGCGCAGCGGTAGGAGCGTGCTGATAATGTGTTGTGGTCTATTTTGTCTAACAAGGTTAAAGAGGGCCGGCGGCAAGGAGAAGAGAAAGAGAGAGATGTGTTTGTAGAATTGTAGGGGAATGCGTGTTGTTATCCCTCGTACATTGGGCCGTTATTTATAGTAGTAAAATGAAAGAAGATATTCATTCTTCCCCAAGGAATACAAGATACAATAGGAAAGGATAACTAGAATCAAATCAAATCTAGGATTTACACAATCACACTTAAACCAGGCATGTTTATAACATATATATATATATAGAGAGAGAGAGAGAGAGAGAGAGAGAGAGAGAGAGAGAGAGACATTGCATAAAAATGATATTGCACTTTGAAAATAGCTAATTCTCACACTTCTATACACATAACGCATTAGGTTTTAAAGGTCCGTTTGATTAGTTTTAATTTTTTATGCTTGAAATATGATGAAACTACTTGTTTAATACGACTGCGCTTAAAAAAAAAAAAAAAAATAGATATGGATCAATCAAACTCCGATTAAAGAATGAGGCTCCACTCTAGCATGGCTAGCGGTTGCCTCGCCCGCCCCTCTTTGGACTGTTAGAGCCCATGATTTCTCCGCCTGAAGCCACCACCGTCATCAAAAAAAGAGATAAGAGATCAAAATTTAAAAGCGAACTTTAAGTTAATTCTTAAGCTCCAAAATTAGGAGTTTCATTGAAGGGGAGGATTCAATACACAAATCCATATTTACAAAGATCAAAATCAAAATACAAAACGAAACTCGAAGATCACATGGAAACATCAAAATAGGTGAAATAGCTAACCCTACTTTAACTCCTCCCTCATAATCTCCAAGGAGAATTGGTTCCTCTGCTGTTTCTTGTCAATTGAACCGTCTTATTATATATAGTACGTACTTAGATAATTACATCTATGCACTTGTATATGCATCAATTTCCCATAAAAGGTAGGGTTCTCTATGTACAATGGAGTGGAGTCGCCGGCCGATACTTTAGTAAAATCTTCATCACTTCCTCTCTCAACGATCTAAAGCAGTAATTACCATCCTGCAATACACATTTACAACAATAAATAAGAAATAATAAGGGATGTTGAAGTACAATTAGTATTTGCTAAACAATTTTCCCCTTGAATAATCACATCGATCAACTAATGTACCAAATAACCTCAGAACTTCTATATGTTATACAGGGTTTTGCGAGACCAATAGAGTATGCATGTTATGTTAGTGACTCGTTCTACATATATTCTGTCAACGATTGACAGCCTGACAATATGTTGTACTAATTATCTAATGAGATATCCTATGCATATATAGTTCAAAGGAATATATTAGTATACCAAATATGTTAATGATCGATCCAAGATATACGGTTCCGAATTCTCAATCTTGGTTTCAAGGTTAACTTGGTCAGTTCTTAATCTAGTGAGAGATTATCATTTTTTTTTTAATCAAAAGTGAGAGATTATCTAAGCCAAATGATATATGCATGCTTCGTCAAGTTGACTCTGATATCTATTGGGTGTTAGCTAGAGAAGCAAGGACATATATGCATATATCATTCTAAACATAGCTAACAACCAATCGTAACCAGTCGGACTTCTAGGTTCGGCGCGTGTCAAAGCATCAGCAGACGATTTCCTCCTTGTTAATTTCTTGAAGTTCAATGCTCCTGGTGTTCCAGCTGCATGTAAAACCAAAAGAAAATAAACATAAACAAAATTAAACATTTAAATTTCTCACAAAAAATAAATTATACAGTTAACAATAACAACTATAACTGAGCAAGTTGATCGTAACAGGAGAAGTGTAGTATATGTACCGTCGTTTTATTGTAGTTTAGAATATAAAATAGATAACTTACGGGTTCTCGGAGTTCCTGGTGTGGTTGGGGACTCCGAGGGGGAGCCGGAATCAGGTGAAAGGTTTCCAAGAGTGGACGAACTAGTCCTGAGAATAGTAATGCACCGAGTGACCGGCACCTCATCCGCAGCCATTGGCGGAGAGGACGGGATAGACATAGAGTCGTACTTCCGGAGCTTGCCGAGGCCGGATTCGGGTGCCGGTCCGGCGAGTGTTTCATCCCAAAGCTTGTGAAGGAAACCCATGATGACTTATTTTTTATTTTGTCTAATACTAATTGTCTCTCTGTAACAACCGACGAAGCTGGCTGTGCGATGTAACAATGGAAGTTGTTATGCGTAGGTTCGTGACCCAAGCTATACGACTGTTACAAAGAGATTGGGAAAACAAAGCAAATAAGAGAGAGGATGAGAAACTTAATACGTAGAAAGGAGGATTCTTTCCATGAACGCAAGGTGTTTCAGGGTTCTTATAAGAAGACACAGGCTTTGAGAAAGAGAGAGAGAGAGAGAGAGAGAGAGGTGGTAATGGCTAAGCCAAATTCAGTAAACGAGCGAACGGCTAAATGGCTTGATTACATTGGAGCCATCCAATTTGCTTCTCGTTTTTGATAACTTATTTTGAGTAACTACTATATTGTCTGGGGTTAAGGGGCTTGCATGCATGTAAGCATATCCATTAATTTTAAGTGATGCTATTTTCACCTCATCTCACTCTCAGTCTCACTCACCTGTTTCTCATTCTTTCAATTTCTTTATTGTAAGGATAATTTCCTTACTCAACTCATTCGTTACTTAAATCTTATCTTTTTTTTTTAATTGTATTTTCACATATTTGCCCATAATTGTGGATTACAATGGCCAAACAGGATTCACTTCAATGTAGACTTGCAGCGCTCAATTTAATACTTGTTCCTCCATTTATGATTAACATGTCTTGATCATATAAACATAATAATTAGTACCGTTTATTTTTTTACCTTATTCAAAAATTAAATTTGCAAAAAAGTAAGACATTAAATAAAAATCGTGTTTAATCGTTTATATGCATCAAACAAATAAATAGTTTTATGATAAGAGTTAAACCCACGAAGATAAGAAAATATGATAACCTCATATGCAGCGAGCCAAATTCTGGGAAGCCAAGCAAGCTACATAGAAAAAGCTTGGAAATCGTAAACAGGAAACAGGATGACGGGGTCAAGTGGATCGACAGGTGTCCCACCATTTTTAAACGTAGTTTCACACATCACTGGATAAGCTTGAAGACAAATTTTTTTTTTCAACAAACAATAGTAATTAGGTTAAATTATTAGTTGTTCGCATAAGTATAATTATATTTCGTCACTGCAGAATACAAGAATACAAATTTGATTTTCAATTTTCAAAGAGTATGACATTATTAAATCGATGATTCAAATACTAATCACCCCGATTCGGTTCTTCCAGTAAATAAACTAATTAAAACGTCTTTTTCCTTTCTTCTGGGAGATAGAAATGGACTTACTTTCTTGTAATTCCACCATAGGCATATCAGTATAAACATGGTTCCAGTGACTTCGATCCCCCTAACTTTTGTCACAGCCTTCAATTAGAAAATTAGATGTTGGCCCCTCCACAAAGACTTGAAGACAATTAGATGACTGTTTCCAATAATTCAGTAGGGTTGGTTGGGTAGTGTTAGGATAGTCCAAGGAAACATGATAATGTTCTTTAAATTGGACCAAGTACAATAATTTATCACTAATAACATCAACTTGCATTTTTTTCTCTTATTGAAAACGCAAGCCAAGACTATCTCCTAGCTTTCTCAACCCTTGTTGACGAAAGTTAAACTTTCACTATAATATGAGGAGTAGTTCAATCTCTCATAAGTTTAATATGTAGACAACACAAACATGGTGATATAAAGCACGTGTTGCCGTTGTGTTTCACACGTAAACCAACCTGCTCAAATACCATGAAAAAAGTTAAGGTTCCATCATAAAATCAATTGGAAATATAAAGTGTACCCAAACCTCTTATAACCGTTTGCATAGTTTGATCTCTCACCAATGTGTGAGACTTTACCTTCGCATTCTCATGCTTATTATATAAATTTTCATTTTGGCCATGAAAACATCTGCAACAAAATTGTTGTAATGTTTCCAAACCACATGAAAGAAAATATAATATTTGAAAGGTATGTGAGCTCTTTGATATATATTCTTCCCTTACAAATTGATTTTGCAAGTACAAGCTATATATATATTTTTGGAGCATGAACTACCATTTGATATTAAAGCAGAATTTTACCACACAATTAGGGTAAGATGCTGATATTCAACCACACTCGAGACCATATGAGATATCCTAGTTCTCGTCTTAGCCATCTCCTCTTTTGGGTATTTTTTTATGATCAATATTCTAACGACACTACAAGAAATATGGCCATTGCACACAAAAAGTTAAATGTGCCCTATGAGGCCTAAGGACACCACCATATGTGCCCATAGGGCAATAGCAACAGTGCAGCAACTAAAACATCAAGTGTGCCCTCTATGGGTGTGCCCTTTGGTCATTGGGCACAATAAGGTGTTTTGTGCTGAAACAGGTAAGCACAAATCAGGGGTTTTTGTGCCTCTATTCTGACACCTTTGTCAAATGACTTTTCCAAGCCATGTTCGCACAATTTTGTTATTGTGCCCAATAGGTTAAATATTAAAATAAAAAAAAACAAATTCAAAATTACAAATCAAACCAAATAGTGATACCATCAGTAATAAATTATTTGGCTGGTTTTACATGCACATCCAAGATAACAAGAAAATAAATGATTCACCCACTGAGAAAGATTCATGAATATTTACTTAATAGGGATAAAAGAAAATAGCCCATGTTGAGGCCAAATTTGTTCTCAATAATTACAAATCAAGTGATATAATATTTTTAGAGCCAGAATTTGATCCCAAGTGCAAACCAATCCACAACTATAATGCCAGTAAAGAAAAAGACCAACCTATGCCTTCTCGATGACTAAAGACTTCTTGAATATGGCAGTAAAATATGTGGGAGCAAATACGTATAAACCATAATTGATCAAATCACTCACGTACATTTAGAAAATAGATAAACCTTACATAATGTGGCCGGGAACAAAGCACATAAAACAAAGAATTGAGATCATCAAGCACCAACTAAATGAACAGTTTTGGGATAGTAATTGCATCATGTACATACAAAAGTCTCTGGCGTCTCAATATAATGCAATAGTTCTTTGGTGGCAGGATCAACAACCAACTGCCAAAACTGGTTCGAAGATTCAGCAAAAACTTACAAATGAACCCAAAAACGAAGTATGGCATGATGAAGAAACAAGAGGAAAGAACATCAGGAATATGGGGGAGAGTTGCAGCATTATTCAATAGTTCAAGCTGTCTGTCAACAAACTAACCTTTTATTACTAACATTGTATCCATCACCTTATATCCTTTATGAGCATCTGCAATGACAAACAACAAGAAGCAATAAAAGGAATTAACTTTTCGAAATCTTATCTGCAATTCCAAGCAATAAACTTCCAGTTAACATACAGGAATACGAAACACAAAACTCACCAAGCATGTCTTCAGTGGAAAATTGCTGTAAACATCACAATTCAGCAAAAAGATATGCAACTATTCCAGAGGCACAAATACAACATCGGAGGTGTGGCTGACTCCGAATTCGAAGGCTTCCACGACGACCACGAAATATTGATGAGGACCACAACTCCTTACTCCCTCTCCGACACGCACCGGCCCTTCCCTCACCAACACCTCTTAACCCGACACACCTCCCTACCATGATCCCTCCCTATTGGACTCGGATCCCAATATGATTTCCAATTCGGGCTCTACATCCACCGATTTTCCCAAACCCGACCCACCCCCTCCCCTGATCCCTTCTTACCAAACCTGATCTTCCCAAACCTTCTTCCATCTCTTGCAGGGGTTTTTGCTAGGGGATTCTGGAAATGATGGAGCTCAAAAGCCTCCACGATTTGTCTGGAGAAGGTAGAGAGAGAAAGAGGGGTTGGAGAGAGAGAGAGAGATGTGAGAGAAAGAATCTGAGGGAGGTAGATTGGAAGAGGAAAGTAAAGGGAAAGAGAAACGAAAAAAAGTAAGGCTGAGCAGTGTGTGGGTGAGGCTGCTTTTAATACTGAGTAGGATTGTAGGGTGTTGATCAATACAATTAATATTAAACTATAATTGTGTCCAGACTTGTGAAGGAATGCACGACCTATTGTGCTAATAAAACCAAATGATTTAAATATACTAAATTAAATGGCACAATACTATTTGTTGTGCGTTCTGAAATTAATAAAAAAACTACAATTACTAATATCCATAAAAAGTAACACAAACTTTAGTATTCAAATTTCAATAGGCACAATACACCTTTTTCTAGACACAATTTAATGTGTCTTTTTGTTCAAAAAGCACATTTGAGATAATTTTGTGCTCAATGAAACTTAAAAAACACAAATACATACATGTGCTCAATGAAATTGAAGGGGGCACCAATCAATTGTGTTCTTAGACCATTTTTTTTGTAGTGTGACTTAAACGTTACTATATTATGAGTTTTTCATGCATCAACGATTATAAATCAACATATATGACTGCAGTCATATCTCATATCAAATTACGTACAACAAAAGCATTTTGATTCAACATCCACAATAGTGTTGACTACAAAAAGAGGAAATAGTTTTTTTTTTTTTTTTACCCCAAATCCCTTCTTCCTTTACTTTCTTGTATTGAAGATCTTTTCTTTCATCGTAATTACTACTCCATTAGGGCTGGCATTTTCTGCATCAAATACCGAAACAGAATAGAAAATTAGAGAAATAAAGTTGAAATTTAGTAAAATCAAATTTATCGAACTTTCTAGTTGAGTGCACCTAATGTTGAAATTCCAAATAGAACTCAAGGTGAAATGCCACCTCCATGGCCTCGTCCAACAACTCAGCAATGTCCACCTCCACATTCTACTATGAGTTCAACTTCTAAGGGGGGGAGGGATTGCCACTTAGTGCTATGGTCAAATGGTATTCTTCTTCACTTGTAAGTGAGAGGTCTTAGGTCCGATTCTCATCAAAGACGAATTTGAACTACAGTATTGCTAGCCCATTATGAGACTAACCCCACCCCTCCCCATTAATGTGAATAATATCCTTTGTTAAAAATAATAAAAAAATAAAAAACTTCTATGAGTAGGGGTTAAGCTTTTACTAGAGGGAGGGGCAAAGGAGCCGAAGAAGCTGAAGGGGTTAAGCTTTTACATCAAGCTTTTGTGTTTGAACTATAGACTCATTTTTGAATAATTTGTACTTGTTATTTTTGGGTCGTAACTTACTATTTCATTTGGGTTTGAAGTTTGTAACTTACGATTTTAGTTTTGAGATGTAACTTTTTTATTTCGATAGTTGCTTTCTA